AAACACAGATCGTGGTCCCTACTTCAGAGGCCCCGTTATCTATATAATTTATATGCAATTGATGTGCACAGGCTAAAGGAGATGACAGCTCTGACCTAAGGGTATGGTCGAGGACAATGTGTCATACTATTGTAATTTTTTTCAGTTGAGCGAATATTTAGGTCATTTTCACAATACCTTATCCTGAAGGTGAGCGCGCAGAGCAGAATTGCAGTGTTCCCATCCCCGAGTACTCATTTAACTCTCTCCTTTGTGCTGTGATTCAGTTCCCGGATGACTTCGCCTCGGATGAGAATGTCAAGGCCATCTTTCCCAGCCAGGTCCTGAAGAAGGTTTCTTCTTCGGAGAGCCAGCAGCGAGACAGTCGTGAGACCAGGCAGCCAGATGATCACAGTGTGGAAACCCAGAGCCATGAGCGGTCGAAAGAATCAGCGCTGGAGACAGAGGTTGAGAGCAGCGAGCGTTCCGATAGGCTCAACAGTCAGGAAAGTTCCAAAGTCAGCCAAGAAGCACAAAGCCAAGAATTTCATAGCCATGAAGACTAGTACCACCCAGACCACAAGAGTACGGAAAACGCAGAAGGCCTGAATTTTGCACTCCCATGAGTTAGAGAGTGTGTCTTATGAGGTTGTTTAGCATGCTCTCTTATTTTTGCTCTTAGTAAATTGAAAAGAGAAAAGGAAAGGGTATGGGAGAGAATCATGATTTCTCAGCTTAGTGGATGAATGTACATGTATCTGGGTCTGGAAATACATAGATGTTTGTTGTTGTTTCGTTTCGATTGTAGCTTTGTGGCTAACACCCTTGTAAACTAAATGGCTGCAAGGTTTGGCCTGTGTTCTTTCTCTATAGGAAACTTTCACTGCATCCTAATGTTGGTTATTCTTTTATGAATAGAAATTTATGTAGAAGCAAAGCTCACACTTTGACATAAATGTGATTATATTTTATCATTATAATGTTTTTTTAATTCGTGTATATTTTGTTGTGATTATTTTTTGTTTTGTGATTAAACCTATCTCAGACAGAATGAGAATTTGGGAGTATCTGTGCTTCTTTTATCTGGTTTCCCACAGTTGCTTAGCAGTTAATAAAATCTAGTCATTTTCCTGAAGGTGCTGGACTTGGCAGAGTCTAATCTGGGCCTTTGCGGATCAATTGCTGAGTCAAAGATGGGATTAAGGCAGGGTGGGCATTCAGCCAGCCCTTACATCTTCATCCCCTTGGGGCTTTATGGACTTTCAAAAAGATCTCCTTCTAATTAACACAAGGCAAATATCAACTCACTGCCACAGTCAATTCTGACTCATAATGACTTATAGAAAACTGTGCCTGTGGGTTCCCAAAATTATAATTCTTTACAGGAATAGAAAGCCTTGTCTCTCTCCCAAGGAGATAGCGATGGTTTCAAACTGCCAGTTTTGTGATTAGCAGCCAAGGAGTAACTCACGACAGACCCAGGGCCACTAGAGCTCATATAGAAGTTAGTAGAAGCCAGATGCAATCGCAAATTGATTTTACGGTTTCTTGGCACTTCTTATCAATTTGCTCAGTAAATTTATCACTTTCCAGCCCTTGGGGAAATCGCATAGCATTTTTAATTATCAATCTCAGACAATAAATAGGTCATTGGTATTGGGAAATTTTTAAATCCTGCTATCAAATTATGCAAAATTTCCAATTTCATGGAAAACAAAAACTTCCGAAAAAGAGCTTCCTAATTTTCGTGTTTTACTCTTTTGCTCTTTCTAAAACTAGTAATTACATTAGGAGTTTTATAATTCTCTATTAGATAAATCTTGGGAACAAACGGATACAATTTAAATGAGGGAATTGCTAAAGTACAATCATAATGAACACACGGGGTAGTGTTAACTCAATGAGCATATAGCTAAGACAGTGCTAAGCCATAGTTATCAATTTTTTTCAGCAACAAACAATTTTTAATTAAAATAAGTAAACTGTTTTTACCTTAAGAACTTGAAAAACGAAGTGAACAAAAGTATAAGGGAAAAAATTAAAGCAGGAGATAATGAGGAAGAGAACAGAACAATAACAGAAACAATAGCTAATAAAATATTGGATTTGTAAAAAAACTCAACAAAAAAGACAGAAAATACAGGAAAAATGCACAAATGAAAAGTTAAAACGAGGTATGCCCATGAAACCAATAATTTATTAGAAATCAAAAGACCATTTTGCATAAATCTATATACATCAAATGAAAAACCCACAGGAACTGGATAATTTTCTAGGACAGACTATAACTGACCACCCTATGCTTAAAAAGTATGAAGACAAATTTCTCTAAAGAAAAGGGTACAAAACTAACAAAAATTTTCAAATAAATTTGTGAAGCAAGTAACATAATTTCGACATACAAATCCAATATATACTGAAAACACAGAGACCCCTTTCACTCATAACTAGCAATGGAAAAATCCAAATCAAATCCAAAAGCAAGTTTTAAAATGTATCAGAAATAAGGTAGACTTTCTCAAGAATACAATGATGTTAAAATACTGTTGATAGGGGCCATCAAGTCAGTTCAGACTCCGAATGATGCTCTTTACAGCACAAAGCATGGCTGGATCCTGCTCCAGCCTCATACTAGTTGCTAGGTTTGAGCACATTGTTGCAGGCACCGTGTCAATCTATCTCCTCCAGAGTCTGCTGCCTTCTCGGGCCCTCGAGGACCAAGCACGATGTCCTTTTCCAGAGATTGTTCTTTCCTGATAATATGTTCACCGCCCGTGAGATAATGTCAAGGCATCCTTGCTTCAAAGGAGCCTTCTATTTATACCTCTCCCATGAGAGCTGTGTGTCTTCTTTTGGCAGTCCCTGTTATTTTCAATATTTTGGGCTAGCACTACAATTCAAATGTACTGATTCGTCTTTGGTCTTCTGTTTTCATTGTCCAGCTTCCACGGGCATGTGAAGCAATTAAAAATACCATGGCTTAGGTCAGTTGCACCTTAGTCCTCAAAATTGACATCTTTTCTCCTGAACACCTGAGGCAGAAGAGTGGGATATACTCAAGGGCATATTTGGATTCTGATGGGCTTGTTTTATTTTCTTCAACTTCAACCTGAATTTAAGTATGAGGAGTTGATGGTGTATTCCACAGTCAGCTCCTGGCCTCCTTTTAGCTGATGACATTGAGCTTCGTCACCATCATTTCTTCTCATAGTCACTTTGACTCCCTCATATTCCATTTGCATATATATATATATAAAACCACCATTTACCTTGTTGTAAAAGTATTTGCAATGAAGAAGTCTTTGGTTTTGTAAAATGCTACTGTGTGATCCCCAGCTTTGTTTCTAACTCTAAGACCATATTTTCCAACTACTGCTCATCCTTCTTTGTTTCCAAATTTGGTATTAAATAGTAGAAAATCCATTTCTATAATTCACTGTTTCTAGATGTAAGAAGAAAAAGATCATGTAGGTGATGAGACATTGTGTGCTAGATATGGCTGTAAAATTGAGTATGACATACCCTTATGCCAGGCGTGGTGGCGCAAGCCTGTCGTCCCAGCTACTCGCGAGGCTGAGTTAGAGGATTGCTTGAGTGCAGAATTTCTGAGCTGCAGTGTGCTAATAGGATGTCTGCACTAAGTTCAGCATCAATATTGTGACCTCCCTGGAGAAATGCCCTTATATCTATCTCAGTGCTTTACAGCATCAAAAATTTAATTTTCTCATTTGCTCTGTCACTTACTGTGGTTATGTTTCATGCTAAAGAATGGGTTTGATACTCATAGAAGCAATGGTCAAGAAATCAAACAATGTACTCCATTGGGTAATTCTGCTGAACAAGACCTCATAAAGGTGTTGAAGATCCCAGATATCACTTTTGGGACTAAGGTGCATCTTCCCAACCCATGGCATTTCCGATGGGCTCTTAAGCATAGGAAAGTAAGACATTGTCAAAAGAAAAGAAGAAGAACCGATGCCTTTGAATTATGGTGCTGATGAAGAATGTGAAAAGTACCATGGACGGCCAGAAGACCAAGCAAATCTGCCTTGGAAGAAGGACAACCAGAATGTTGCTTAAAAGTGAAGGCAATGAAACTTTATCTCACATACTTTGAATAGTTTTCAGGAGTGATCAGTTCCTAAAAATGACATCCTGATTGGTAAATTAGAAGGGTAGTGGTTAAAAAAGAGAGGAGATGGAGTGACACAGTGGTTGCAACAATGGGCTCAAACATAACAAATGTGAGGATGGCCCAGGACAAGGCAGTGTTTTGTTCCGTTGTTCATAAGATCACTTTGAGTTGGAACCCACCTGGTTTCACCTAAAGGATGCCAGGTATGCCCTATATGTCTCTCAGGGTGGTACTAACAACTCTCTGGACATTTTCTTATCAGCAAAAGAAGGGTGAACTTGAACTCGGACTCCTGTTATTTTTTATCAAATTCTGTTGTTCAAAGAAAATCACGTGGTCAAGCCCAGTGTCAATGGAATTGGTGAAGTCTACTCTCTTCACCATGTGGAGATGGTGAGAGAAGGGAGAAAGGAGAAAAAAAAAACCTTGCTAAATAAAATATCTAACAGCCTTGGACACATCTCAACACTCTTTTCTGATTTTACGAAATAAAAAATGTTAGGGGATACATCTTTAATGTGATGAGATCTTTTTCATCTCAGCACCCAAGGCCATCAAGAAACTTAATGGAAAAGCAATATAAACACTCAAATTAAGATCAAGGACAAAACAAGTATTCTCTCTCAACTCTACTATCTCGTATATATTTGAGATATAAGCAAGAAAAATAAAAATTTAGAAATGTAAGAATTATAAAGGAAGCAAAATTATATGTAAAAACATATGTGTATGTGGTTTACTCTTGCCTACTAACCTAAAAGCTGTCAGTTCAAACCCATCTAATACCGCCATGCAAGAAAGGTGTGGCATCATCTTCTGTAAAGATAACAGCACACCCCGTGGAACAGTTCTACTCTGTAACACACTGGATCACCATGAGTCGAAACAGGTTCCATGGCAAAATGTAAGCAGATGTTATCATCATAGGCTTGGAAAACAAAATTGATGCAAAAATAAATAAATAAATTCTGTAATATGAAATTAGCCTAAAATATGTACACAAATGTAACGTCAATGAACACAGATAGTTTTTTAAATATGTAAAATACTTGACAGAAAGTATACATAAACAGTATTGGGAAGACTGTAAAACATTCCTGAAAGGCAAAGAAGAAAAATTGAACAAATGGAAAGAAATTACTTATTATGGTATAGAAAAATTCAATTCCGTAGTTGTCAATTCTTGTCAAGTAACATATAGAAATAATGTGATTCCAATGAAATTAAAAAGAAATATTGTTTTTCTTTCTGGATGTAGGCACGCTAATTCTGCTGTTCATATGAAATAATAATTATACATTATTTCCTTCAGAATATTGAGAAAAAATGACAGCAATAAGAAAGATTTGCCTTAGCAAATCTAAGAATATACTATAAAACCATCCTAAGAAAAATTAAATGAATATGAAGCCCAGAAATAGACCAAAGTACATATAATTTCCATATGAGAAATATATCTCACATCACTTGGGAAAATATGGATTTTAAATAAATGATATTGAATAGCTAGATATCCAACTGGAAAAAGATGAAATTGGATCCACAGCTCACCTACAGAAAATCCTCAAATTGACCAGAGATCTAAATTTCAAATGAAACTATTGAAATACTACACTACATGGATGAGTTACTTTGTAATCTGGATGTGAAGGAAGGTATATCTAACAATA